TTGTAGTAACTTCTCAGGGTCATTGAGGCACTAACCTAGACATTGTAGGTTTAGACCATGACATTAGTCATATACTGTATGAGAGGGATTGATTCTCTCACCTGACCAGCGGTGAGGTCTGAGATTTGCCAGGTGCTTATTCATAGGTTGCATTATCTGAGAGAGATATCCAGTCCTCAATGGAGGTTGACTGTCCTGCTGGCAAGGGGAAAAACAGAGGACATTTTGGAGGAAAACATGTGTGGTCATAATTACTTACTTAATACTTACTTAGAATTACCAAATTGATCTACTATATGAATGGCAATTCCAAATTAGGAAAGAACACAACAAAACTATATATGTTTTTCTTCTGTAGGACACTAAAGCTTTGAATATTTGAGAGGTATTTTGAAATTGGTTTACATATGATTCGTCAGCAATTCATTCTTTTGTTTCTGTTCGAATAGAGAAACATGTTTTGCATTTTGTTAAGTTGAAATGTATTCCATTTATTTTGCTGATGCAATTTTCTGAGTTTTTAATTTGTCTGGATCTGTTTTTCTACTTTGGATTTTAGTGATTCGTAATGACAACCCAAAACAACAATATGTCATGGTTACTCTGGTTTTGAAGAACTTCTTCTTTCACAGTGCTCATAAGAAAACCTTAACAAAAAAAAAAACAATACCTTAGAGCTATTGACTCTATATTTTCACCTTGTTAAACAATAGTGGATAAGTGCACACAGGTACAGTACAATCTTAAATTCCATGAAGCAGATTATTCTTCGGTGCAGAATTCTAAAATTACAACTGCAAAATACACATACAGTATGCAGTAAGAGAGATTATTATAATTTATTAACCCTACTGGTCTAATTTGGTTAGATAACACACATGAACGAATGAACAAGATACAAAAGTCATGATGCAGTTGGATGTAGAATAGTGATATAGATTGCAGCTGAAGTACACTGACTTAGTCTTGCTTTGTTCTTACACCAACATACAGTGCACAGCTGTCTATGACAGAAATGTTTAGCCTGATGAAGGTCCTACAAAAAGTAACAATAAAATTGTTTTAATTGTGATTTTTTTAGAGAGTTCCAGACTATCAATAAATTAATCTGGTACTGTTTTATATTAGAAAAAATATTATGGCTAATTTTTTTCCTATTTTCATTATCTCAAAATAACACGAGACAGGTCCGATTTCATTTAAAACTCTGGGAAGTATTATATTTTGCAACTGTGTTTTATCTGTGATGTTTCCATGAACTCATGCATCATTATTTGAGGTCTTACACTTTTTCTACCTTCTTTCTACAGGTTTTGTAGTTCAACAATCATTTTGTATAAAAAGTATCGTCATTGATGTTTTCTCTCTTACACTACCTACTCTCGAAACTGAAAATAAACCACCTGGCAGCACTGAGTTGAACCATCAAGATTTCTAGGTTTAAAAAATCCAGGCATAATAGGCTCTGTCAGTGTTACTCAGGGAATTAAAGTCTAAAATTTAAATGTGTCTTTGGCTTCCAATTTCATACTCTAGAAGTCGGCTTTTGTTGATCTGAGAATTAGAAAATTGAAAAATTCCAATTAATTTCCTTGTGTGTACTGGATCGATATGAGTGGTGAATAATGCCCTATGTGTGTAATTTCATTTCTGACATTTGTGGATGTTTTAATGTGTTTTAAAGATGGAAATCTGTACATCTCAAAATGAATGGCTGCTAGAGAGTAGAAATCCTTGACCATTTGCAGTATAGGCCAGTCCCAATGCTTTGGAACAATTTGTATGCATGAAAGATTAAGTGTGTTGTTATGTAAATTGCCACATGCCACCCAGCTCAGGCATAAATCACAACTACAAAATAATTATTTCTTAATTTGGAACTTGTTTAATTTGCTGTTATGGTTAAGCTCACAGGGTCCCCTGGCACTGAATTTATTTTTACGTGCAAGAGACCAGCATGAATTCACTGCTGTGGAGCTCAAAGCAAAATTGCAATTAAGAAATAACTCGTCCTTGATTACCCTATTTTGCTTTAAGGAATACATGGAAAGCTACTGAATAACACATCTCTCAATAAAGGATGAGCACCATTATTGGTATATGATTAAGTGTTTGTGATATAAACAATCCTTTAAATAGTTCCACCTTTACTGACAACAGAGACAGAAGAGATACTCAAGGACAAAAATTACTCGGAGGAGACATTGTGTAGACTTTAGTGAACAGACTGTCTTCACCTGGGTATGAACAAATAATTCCAACCTTAAACACTCAACCATGTAATAGAAAATTGAGGCTCCAAGGCTGCATTTTTGAACATCCAATCTGTTCTCAATGAGCACGCTGTTCCAAAGGCTGCCCTGTTTCATGAATGGGTTTGCTTGTGTCTCACTGACAAGGGTTTGTGAGTTCTTTTCACAGAACACTAAGAAGTGGGGTACAAAAAAAGACCAAAACAAAAAACATGCTTACGGCAGCATCATCTTTAAACGTGCCTTTTAAAATGATGATCTTATATTGTGCAAACTTTTGTCTTTGAAAGAGTTCTCAGCTAAAGATCACCTCAAAAATGTGTTATTTCTACAAAGAACACAGTCTCCAGTTTACCACCTCAATTTGATCCCAAATTCTATGTGCGTCCATTAGAACATTTTGTATTTTAATTAGCCAAAACTCAGTAATTGAATGAAAAATATCTGGCTTTAATATATTTATGGCATATAATAATTGCAAGTTTCAAAACGTTCATGAAACCTATGTTCTCTTTTACTGTATTTATTAAATTTCAAATTAAATGATTTTGTTTCCATGTACACTGCTGCAAGTGTGAAATATTAAATTTGGAAGCTACAATATGAGTCTCATGAATTTACTCTACTAGTATTTTTAGGAGAATTTTGTTATTAATACAATCTAGTTTGAGTTGAAAGAGACTAAGGCTGTTATTTAACAATATTTCACTGACCAGAATTGAAAAAAAAAACAGTCACAACTGTAAAATCCAGCAATTCCAACAATCTGAAATATTTACTAATCTTTCAGGTTATCTCCTTAATAAATATTCCTCTCTACACAAAGATTAAAATAAGCCTACAATCCTTAACAGCTTAAAATGAAAGGACTACATAACCGGTAGATCAACAGGATTGAACATCCAGTAAAACAAGAAGATATATATTGAAGGAAAAGAGGAGACTGATGCTTAGAAAATATTTTCTGCCATGACTGCATGCACTAAAGAAATATGAACAATTTAAACAGCGTCATCAGTCTAGAATAGTTATTTGCTATTGTAGCTTTAGATGTAATTCATTTTATATTTAAGCGTCCCAGTGCTGTGCAGAGTTTTTATGTTCACCTCGTGTTCATATGGATTTCGTCTGGGTGCTTCGGTTTCCTCCCACAGTCCAAAGACATGCGGGGAGGTTAATTGGCTTCTGGCGAAAATTAACACTGGTGCGAGTGGATAGATGGATAATTCTAATTGAACTACAATTTTTTTTTCCAGCTAGGTAATAACATTCATTCCACTAGTTCAGTTAGACCCTAATGAGTATGTACTATGTAAAGTATTTGGCATAACTCACATAGTTTAGGGAATGTTTAGGATCCTTAAACCTCTGTGTAACCATAGAACTACCAGTGCACAGGGGTCTGTTTTCAGTTTTTGACTTTCTTTAAGATATCTAATGACAAATAACTAATTTCCTTTTTACAAATTTTCTGGTTGAGCATGTGAGTTTTCAATAAAAATACTGTTTGGAAAAAGACACATACCATTTCAAATCCAGCAACATTTGAAAATGTTTAAAGGGTCTTTATAATTTTATAACTTTATAATTAACGGTAAACTTATAAACACCATAAAAGGAGAAGCAGAGCATTTTGTCATCTTCAGTGAATACCAAGAGAAAACTGACCAGCTTACAGAGACTGAAGTTTTAGGAGAAAAACAAATTCCATATTTATAGTAATAATAATAATTGCTTACACTTATATAGCGCTTTTCTGGACACTCCACTCAAAGCGCTTTACAGGTAATGGGGATTCCCCTCCACCACCACCAATATGCAGCCCCACCTGGATGATGCGACGGCAGCCATAGTGCGCCAGAAAGCTCACCACACATCAGCTATTAGTGGGGAGGAGAGAAGAGTGATGAAGCCAATTCACAGATGGGGATTATTAGGATGTCATGATTGGAAAGGGCCATTGGGAAATTTGGCCAGGACACCGAGGTTACACCCCTACTCTTTTCGAGAAATGTCCTGGGATTTTTAATGACTACAGAGAGTCAGGACCTCAGTTTTACGTCTCATCCGAAGGACGGCACCTTTTTACAGTATAATGTCCCCATCACTATACTGGGGCATTAGGACCCACATGGACCACAGGGTGAGCGCCCCCTGCTGGCCCCACTAACACTGCTTCCAGCAGCAACCTTAGTTTTTCCCAGGAGGTCTCTCACCCAGGTACTGACCAGGCTAAGCTTCAGTGGGTTGCCAGATGTGATATGTCTGCTGCTATTTCCCTGTTCCCTGTTATGTCCATGTGCAGCAGTAAAGTTTCACAAATATAAGTGCATGTTTTTCAAGTGAAGACTGGTCAAGATATCAATAGAGAGATATTAGCTTTTTACAAACAGGATTGGCCTTCATCAACAAGACATTCTGACTTTATCTGTGTGTGACAATCAATCTATGGATTTCACTGACAGTAGATCATTTGGTTGTCTTTGCTTTTCATGGCGATTTCTGCCCTGAGACTTTTAATAAGTTTTTAAATCATCAGTATTGAAAAGTTTCACTCCACATCAAGTGTATGGGATTCATGGAGCTGGGATTACATTTTAAACTTTTCAGGGTCTACTCTGACACCTGTGCTCCCTACACAGTGACTTGCTTGGGCACACAAGGAAGAAAAACATCACCACATAAAAGCTGAGAGTTATGAACAACATACAGCATGGAAAAACAAATGTACGCAAGAAATGCAACAACTAATTTAATGAAATTTTAATGTAAACACAGCAGGTTTAAGGGCAAAGTTACCGAGAACAGACATTTCAATGGATTAAGGTAAAAATCATAAAAAGACAGATGATCTTTTTAAATTAAATATACATTTCAAATTTGGGATGAAATTTTATTTTAAAAAAATATTCCTGTACTTCCTTAAAAGTGTTGTTTCTGAGTTATGCTCAACACTGAAACACTGACATAATACTGACTACTTGGCAACTTCACAAACACCACTAAAGGCTACACAAGCTTACTCAACAAAAGCTTAATGTTGCCTTGGAATGTAACAGCCAATATAACAGAACACAGTCAAAATAAAAAATGAACAAGTTGCAAGCATGAATAACAATTCTACTGGCATCAGGAATCGCGGCTTTAAGCTCAAAGCAGGATTTATTAAATAAGATGTCAGAGGCAGTTTCTGTGCATGATAGTGCCAAGTTAAGGAGGATGCACTTGATTTAACAGTCCGTGTGAACTGTGAATCTGATACCACTAAATCTAGGAAAAAAGCAACCTGTAAACCATTTTTTCCTTCTGCTTGGAGACATAGCTGCCACATGTAACAATGTGCAACATTTGATTTCCTCCTGTAGTCGAAACCACAGTCTGAGGCAGGAAACCATTACAGGATCCTGTATTGAACAGCTATAAAAACATAATTTTGAGGAAAACGAAGATTCAGAAATAATTTACAGAGAAATCAAATATAGAATCTGCAAACGTGGAACTCAAGTGATCCTAGTCCTTTCATGACGTTCTTCACTGCTGAAGCTCTGTGATGTTTGGTACATGAATACTTTGTACAATTCTTGGCTTTACCAGAGCTGGATACTGCTGGCCTAGGTGTGGTTGTTATGATGATACACTTCAGAAGGCCTCACAGGCAAGTTATTAAGTGCTGCAATTACGTCAAAATATACCTAAAAAAGTTAAGTTTAGCAAGTATAGCAAAACAAAAGAAGAAGGTTAAAGTAGGATCCAGTTTTTCTTTCTTTTCTGTTCTTACAAGTTCCTTCCAGTATGAAGAAGTAGTAACTGGTCAAGTCCATTGTTAGTTGCAGTCGTAAACAAAGTCATAGTTGCTAGGCTCTTTGGGAATGGGGGGAGGGGCTTCAGGAATCTGGATGTTCTCAAGGTCCAGGAGGCGGAGCTTCATCTCCATGTTAAGGAGTGTGTCCAGGTCAGTCTTGGAGAGCTCGCTGCTCATTTCCTTTCCCAGAAGAGCATTTAGACCATCTGTCCACACGCAGTACTGCAGGATGAAATACACATGACAGCACAAATCAGGACAAGCCCCGCACGACTTTCTTGAAGGAACAGTATGAATGCTGCACAGTTTCAGCATGCCATGCGAGATATTATTTACAAACCTTTGAAAAAATGAGAAAATCTTCTACTAAAACACTGTGATGTCTATAAAAATCACTGATTTAAAGTAAAACGAGTACATTTTAGTCACAGATAAAGTTAGAGGAGTGTGCCAGTGCAAAATCTCTTGAAAAAAGACGAATATTGGTAAAACAAAAGCAGAGGTAAACTGAAAATGATTCAATCCGACATTTAAAATAAAACAGAAACAATATCACCTGAAAAAATGAATTAATCCCTTCCTGTAGCATGTGAATTTTCTTAAATGCCATTACAGCATGATTCTATTAATCTTTTTCCAATGCATATTCTCACCATTAGAACTGACAAAATAATGAATGGATACTTACTTCATGCTTGTCAGGAGCAATAAAATTTAAATATTCATCTGACTCATACAGGACAGAGAATGCAAGTTCCTGTACCTCCTGCAACAAGATAACATTCACGTTTTACACTGATCAGCTCTTTTGTTTGAAACTAATACATTCGAACTCCCACATAATGTTATAACGGATTTTGGTAAATAAAAGACCAAACGGATTTTTTGTGACGGACTCACCTAGCCGCTAATATACATGAACAGCTTAAAGAAAGGAATAGCAATATAAACATGCCGCCAGTGCCCTTCTTCAGAGTAATTCCAAATTAAAATAATAATTGAATGTATATAGGGCTTTGGTTACATTGTTTAATCCATTTAAAAAAAAAAACAAATGTAAAATTCTCCAGTATACTGTAGCTATGAAAAAATGCAAATATTTCCAGCATATGGTCAGTGGGTGATGTTGCATACACCTCACTCTAAAAATATTATTTAGGTGTTGATCTGAAGCCTTCATCTGATGATTGCCTTTTTAGTAATTTTTTAATTAGTGTCAGGCAAAAAATAAAAACATATGACATTTCTAAAATGCTTGAAATGTACAATATGTCTACAAAATCTGTACTTTTGGTTATGAGTCTCTCTAGATAAGACTCCAGATACACAGAATTTGATTGATGACAGAAGCAACACTTCCAACCTTTTAAACTAATCTTGAGTGAAAATGGGAAGGATGCACCTTTGCCGTGCATTCTAAAATTAAGCTTTCTATTTTGAGTGTATAAATTAAATCTCGAAGATGCTTTCTTTAGAATTTCACATTCATTTTAATTGGCCCCTCTATGACATTGTTACAAACTAAAGGGGGCAGGAAATAGCCAGTGCTTCAGGTATAATTTGAGGCACGTGAGAAATGGAACGCAAGTTATTTTGTAGCACTGGCACAGTTCTTTTATTTTTCTGGCTCAGGGTCAAACTTCGATGAGACAAATAAATATTTATTAACAAAATGCAACTACACAGTATTACACAATACCACATGTACAATTCAATGCATTCTATAGGCTGATCTTCTACCCCTTTAAGTTGAAAGCACTATGCAAAGTCTTAACACGCCAAAAACAGTTATACCTGCATCATAATAAATGGATCCTAAAACAGATTAAGTCTCCTTTCCTACAACATTGATGTCCAAAACCAAATGTTAAGCTATCTCCCTGCAATAAAACTGCACCACCTAACTAAAGAGAATGTTTTTAGTCCGAGGATTCCACAGTACAGGAAATCAGAATTTCCTCAATTAAATAAGAGATAATGTTCAGATTACTTAGCCAGAATCTGGTCTCCAACACTGATCAGATCTCTTGCAAGGCACAATCTTGGAGGAGAGTGATTCTGTTGCCCTCCATGTCTTCCTTCCTCCCTTGTCTTTGTATTTATGTTGTGTCTATGGCAATTGAATGTTTGTCCTTTATTTTGGTTCTAATGGTTTACTATGAAGTCAATTAACCAGAGTAGATAATCAGAAACCCCCCATTGACCATCTATGTTTACCTGCCTCTTAGCCCACCTACAGACAAACACCATTAAAATGCTACCCATAGCCTTCATTTACAAAATCGTAAGAAAATCACAGCGCATTGTAGAGAGTCGCAGTGCGTGCCTGTTACCGTCAGTTGTGTAGTGTGACACCCCCAGCGACTCAGTCACAGTGCTCTTAACAGCCCCTACGACTCTCTCGGACTCGCTACGACAAAATCAAACTGGTTTTCTCCTCCAGCAGAAGCTTAAATCTACTCACGACACAAAGGCAGCCAAACAAGGACACATTTCCTTATTTCAAGAAGCAGAAATAAAACAGAATTAAACTTCTCTCTGCAGATGCTACATCAAATGTGGATGTGCTGCAAAAATGAAGCTAATTTGTTAGAAGACCATAACATCAAATTAGGTGCAATTTATGTTCCTTATCTGTGTGTACACAAACACCTTGCACAGAAATAGTCAACAAGACATTAACCTTGCAATTACCCTGCATGAGCTGGAAACAGTATCTACAACATTAGCCAACAATTTCTGTAGACCTGGGTAATTAGACTGCTTATCAAAACAGAATAAGATTACTAAAATGCCTCTGGGGTAGTATGCATCGCATCTGTTCATTCAAGCCTGGTTCAGACATAAGAGTGAATGTGCTGACATGGAAGAATTTGTTTTAAATTATACAATCTCAATACTTGCAAAACCTGAGTTTACCTTTCACAGAAAAGATGACTTATTACTGTACAAAATGAAAGCCTTCAGAACCCTTATATTCAGAACATAGTACTCCACATCACAGTTTTTCTTTATGCCACTGTGAAAAATAGGGGTGAAACTGGAAACAAAATGAAACAAAAACTTTTCCTTTTGAAGAAAATAAAATATTTTTTGCTTTGTAAGATAAACGTATTTCATTGTTGGTTCGGTTTGTGGAACTACTACAAAATAATATATTGTACAGAGATAAAGAAGCATATTTTACTTGGCACCCACACAAAATATGAGAGATGAATACCTAAGTAAGCCTCACCTTGTTCTGTTTCAGAGCTCCTTTTTCCTTCATGTGAGGGCAGTCTTTTCCAGTTACAACAGCTTTGATATCAGCCACTGGTACTAAAACAGAAAGAAAAAAAATCCCTATATGTGTAAGGAGTACAGGACAACCTATTTTGGTAAAATAAGACATTCACTACCTTGCAAAGGACTTAAATTTACTGCTGGTACTTTTCGTGGTGACATCAAGGAACAATGTCTTATTGGAGATGGGCTATTGCAATGAAGTTGCATATAACTATTGATTTTACAGGAAGAAAAGTGCATTTAAATTACACTAGGCAACAAAGTACATTGACTGCTTGTGATTACCAAAGGTTAAATTCAAGAACTCATATTTTTCCTTCACAGAAGTACAACTCATATAAGTCAGAAAGCAGACATTATTAACTACTACTGTACTACAGTACAGGTGGCCCCTGTTATATGTTGTTGGGGTTAGTGACCTGACTGTTGTGACATACAGCAAAATGACATATAGAGAGGAATGTTCTCCCATAAAAACAACATAAATATGTAGTTCAGGTGGGAAGCTGCATCAGCATGCGTAGGCTGCAAAGGAACAAGTAATCGGTTTATTCCATGCTGAAAAGAGAAGAAAGAAAACACAACGTTTCGGCCGTGGAGCCTTCTTCATGTGTGACCTCACAAGGCTCCACGGCCAAAACGTTGTTTTCTTTCTTCTCTTCTCAGCATGGAATAAACCTATTACTTGTTCCTTTGCAACATAAATATGGAGTGTTTGGAGCTACAGTATAACAGTACAAACTTTACTCATGACTTAAAGCTGGAGGCCTTTCTCATAAAAATTAATGGAACAGAGTTTGGTTAGGGACCATAAATTAGATTGTGTGTTTCATTTGCAGCTTACCAAACATAATAATTGTCCCTTCGTAAGTCCTGGTTATATACCGAAATAATGCAACTTGTAAGGAAATTACCTAGAGGAATTAATATCCATAAGGAATGTAATTAGCATGAGATGTGATTCTAATATATAGTAATATAGTAATAGCATCATAAATAGCATCACCAACACGTTTTGAATTGTGGTCTTGTCGAAACCAGCAAAGTTCATGAACTTTATTCATGAATTTAAGGATTCAGCAACTTATTGTGTGGTCACAATAAATCAAGTGTAAGAACGTTGTCCACAAGAAGAATTTTTAATGTTTCATTTTGCTTATACCTAGGTGGTATTCTAAAGCCCATAAAAACATTCCCTTCCTGCACAGCAACTGAGTGTCAGTAGCATAAAACCTTCCGCTATGAACAAAATAGTCACCGTCTCAATCCGAGTGTTAATCTGACCATGAGGTCCTGACACTCTGTGGTCATTAAAAATCCCAGGGCATTTTTTTAAAAACAGTAGGGGTATTACCCTGGTGTCCTGGCCAAATTTCCTAATGGCCTTTACCAATCATGGCCTCCTAATAATCGCCATCTACGAACTGGCTTCATCACTCTGTTCTCCTCCCCACTGATAGCTGGTGTGTGGTGAGCGTTCTGGCGCACTATGGCTGCTGTCACATCATCCAGGTGGGGCTGCACATTGGTGGTGGTGGAGGGGATCCCCATTACATGTAAAGCGCTTTGAGTGGAGTGTCCAGAAAAGCACTATATAAGTGTAAGAATTATTAGTATATATTATAAGGTGCTTTATAAATAAGAGTTATTATTATTATTAATTCCTATTGTGCATCTGTCAATTTATCATTATTAGCTTAGGGTTCTGTTTTGGAACAGTGGCTCTTCTGGAAATTGCCTGGAAAGATAGGAAAGTCTGTAGGGAACAAATCTAGAGAATTATGATACAACTGTACTGTATCCAAAGTTAGACCACATCTGCAGCACTACACAAAATTATCCTATCCTTCTTACGAAAAGAAGCCTCATAGCAAGTCCAGAAAGCATCAACAGGACTCATTCCAAGACCTTGAAATTCTGAGAAATGAGGACAGACTGTTAATACATATTAAAATAAATGAGGTTACAAATGAGATGAGGATATTCAGCTCATCTAGTCCACTTGGTAGTTAATAGTTAATTGGTACTGTATCTCATCCAGACGTTTCTTGAAAGAAGCAAGAAGAACACTAGGGTGCTTTTTAAACTTCTCTGTTCAAGACTAAAAGAGTCATTTTCTTCAGCCAGTCAATGTAGGACATCCCCTTAAGCCAAAAACCAGAGAACACAAGTGGAAGCAATTTGGAAGTGCATTTAAAACTGGTAACAAGAGGCACTTCTTTATCCAAAAGGTTGTGGGAGTGTGAACAATCTACCTAGCCATGTTTTTGAAGGTGATACTCTGGCTTCTTTCGATTTACAGTATGCCTGGATGAGATGCTTAGACCAGTTAGGGAGAAATATTGTTATCGTTGTTTTGATCAGCTTATCATCTGTTTTTAATCTTATGATACAGGATTGAGTTCTGACAATGAGCAACGTTGTTAAATGTTGTTATGTATCATGGTATTATACTGTTGCTGTGTTGGATTATTGTCATGTGTGTTATATGCTATGGGCTCTTGATGTGCAAGACAAATTCCCTTTGGGGCAATACAGTTGAATTCAAATTCAAAATCAATTAACCAAAAATTAGATTAACTCTTTGGTTTCAAGATTAAAAATGTTCAGCATCTTCTATCTGTCAGTATAGGACATTATCTTAGGCCCCAGAATGTATCTTGTCACTCTTCCCTGGACTGATTCCAGAGCAGCCATATGTCTGCTCAGTCTTTAAATATCTAAATCTTTTTGGATTTCATTTGCTGCTCCTAAAGTGTTCACTACAAAACAACACAATATTAAGCTGAAGGCATGTAATTTTTCCAGTCTAGACAGTAAAAGACAGTACTTGGACATTTAATTGAATTTGAACATTTAAAAGTCAATAAATGAAGTTGGCCTATAGATATCACAAATGAAGACACACTGAAGCATAGATGTTGCGATCTTTCAAAACTAAACAGTGTAAAAAAATAACAGGCTCTGTTAACCTGACAGTCTTGTTATTGCCATGAACTTGTCCTGTGCTTATAAAAATTAACCTGTGCTTGTATTGCAGGTTGTGATCTTGATTTTAATGAGGTTAGCCAGACCTCCTGTCATGATTTCAGAAATCCATGCTGGAAATCTCTTATCCAAAACCATTGATTTAGAAGGCACCACTGAGAAAATCAGTCAAACATAAATTTGAACAATGTCTCCACACACACGGAGGGAGGACTGGGGACTCCTCATTGAATATGACCATGGTTTTACTGGTTCATAGGCAAAAGCTATCCCTTGGATGATGAACTGCTTATTTATGGAGCATCCAGAGAGTGACTCACGTTTGTCCTGCAGAGAATCGTGGGGCACTTCTCCTTGGGGGCTTTCCTCCAGATCTCCATAGTGCAGGACCTTGTGGTTTGGAGATAGTCGGCAATACCAGAACTTATCTATAGAAAAATAAAGCATAATTTATAGCGCTTTCATATGATGCAATGCTCAAACAAATATCCCAACCTTTTGTGCACATTATATCATTTGTTCGTGTCTCTGTAAAGCATTATGCATGTACCTATTGCCTCGTGTAGCAGTTGAATGGATTATGACGCCATTATGTCAGAAGGCTCAAATAAAACATGACCAAAAACAGAACAATTGACACCATTTTGTGATTGCATTTGTATTGTAGGTTGAGATTATAACTGCACATTTCACCATTTTAAGAACTATTGTTTTGCTTGTTTAGCAAATGAAAGAAACATCTATCTGGAAAAAAAGTATAGAGAATCAATAAACATCCACATCCAGTTCAGTATACATTGTTACTCATACTCACAAAAGAAATCTGTAAGACAGCTTCCATTTCAAACTACACATTTATCCACAGAGGATCATTTCCTGTCTGTTTCATTCTTAAGTAATTTATATAATATATTGAATCTCTATTACCCAACTATGATGCCTGTGCCATACGCATTGAGGTTATTACCACTCACTCCTCTGACACATTCACCAGTCAGAGTCATCTGCCACAGCGCCTTGCAGGAGAGTCAGTCCTGATTAGAGGAGTCCCTCACTGATGTCACTGTGCTCTTAGAAGTTGCTACAGAGTGCCAATTCAAGGAGACCTTATTGACTTAATATATTTATATCACTAAAATTAGAATTTCATATTTTAATGTAAATTTCTTGTGCAAGAAGTAGAGTTTTTTGGGGTTGGATTTCGATGGAACTTTAGTGTTGGCTATTTCACGCTGGGGAGCAGCTGCATGAGTTTTTGCCTGGGCATATGTTCCATCTCAGATTTAGGCCTGGCATATTCTGAAGTGCCAAGGCTTTGGAGAGTTAGAAAAGCAGACATGTTTCAGTTATGGAGCAGGGGCTGCTAGCTGGCACACAGAAGGACCGTTTCATCCAAGATATAATTGCTGAAAATAGACACTTGGCAGTTGAGACTGGGACTGCATTTGCAGGCAGCTCCAAGTGTTTTTACAGTACTGCCAAAGCCATTGTTTGTGAGCAGAGAGAGAGTAATAGAGGTGCTTTTTGGATATGGAATCAGTGGATGTTAATTCCATGCTGCAAGGTAAAATATAAACAAAAAAAAAACACATTTTGGTTAGGCACCCTTTTGTGATGTTCTATATTTCATTGAATATTTCTACCAAGGTAGGGAGCAGAGTACAGTATGTTCCCAGGTTCTTCAGCATTATGATTAATTAATCTCTTAAATTTATGTACAACTCTGTTAGCTGATTAAAACGCGTGTGTGAGAGTTAAGGAACAGAAGTGATGTCATTTCTTAGTTTCTCTGGCTGTGATGATAAACTTAGCAGAAAGGTTAAGTTGAGAGTAGCTCCTAAGCTAATGGAGCAAGGTGTTCAATGGAAGACACAAAAAGGCAAGTGTCAGCGCAGTTCTGGGTCTGCAGCAGTGCCACTGCATAAAGAAGCATTTTCCATTAAGACATAAAAGCGTCTTCTGTAAAGCTGTATCTTAGAGGCATTAATGGAAGAAGAAATGTGTCCTTTACATAAGCCTGCACTGTCCTACATTTTGTAAAGATTAGGAAACCTTAATGCAGCAGTCTGCATGCAATTTTAAGCGCTCTTATTTAAGAGTAATGCCAGAAAGGCATTACATTTCCAAGCCACGGAGGCTATCAAAACACAGCTTAATTCACTCCTTCACAATGTACCACACATGTCAATTGTACATTAATTACATAAACAGGAAGGATTTTGGTTTGTTCGCTTTCCTGCCTGGGTAACTATTAAAGATGTGAAGGGCAGGTAAGAACTCGTGCTACTTATTTATCTCGATAACTCGAGAATTATCCATACTGTACATTTCTTTAAGGTAGAAAAATTCTACAACTAAGTTTCCTGAGCACTCACTCAGAACGCAGGCTATGGCCCTAGCTGATTGTGTCCAGGATTCCCCAGTTGGTACAAATTCTTCTGTGACGAGCTATAAAGCTTGCAAGGTACCAAAGTATGATTCTGTAGGTGGTCTTATCAGAAGCTTTCTGTCTTTCCCATTCAGGTAAAGGAGTTGCTAGAAAGCAATGTGTTAATAAACAACCACTGAGCCCGATAAGAATTAATTTATTTTAAAACAGAAAAACATCTAATGGATCAGACTCAGCTTGATCGCTGTGCTGCTGGCTGCTGGGAGGAGGCAGGTGAGGTACATCATGACACACATATGGACACAGGAGGTGCACAGAGATTTACAGTAGGAAGAGAATGGTAAGAATCAGGTGATTGAGTCAGCAAGGCAAAGGAGTGGGAGACAGAAACAGAAGAATAGGAGCCAGAAAGAAAGAGGAGGCGGTAATGAAAACCAAAATGCTAAACCAAGGAAGGATAGAGTAGACAGATGAAGACAGGAATAAATCATGTTTCTGAAGTCCAGCGCTACCCATTCTATACTATTTTATTTATATGATGCATATTGCCAGGTGCCAGAGGGATTCATTCCCAGCTTTTTAATTCATGTCTCTCTCCTTTGGATTTTTAGACGACTTCACTTGAATCTACTGAATTAGTGTGTGTCGTATAACCATGCACTTCAACAGTTAAGTATTTGGCATTTTAATGTTTGATATTTCTTTTCTGCTCAGCCTACATTTTGAATTGAATGGATAAAATTTCTGAACTCCATTTTCCATTTGTTACCTAACCTGCGGCTTTCCTTCATTGCAATGAACGCAGTGTGCAGTTAAATTTCAGATGTTCTAATACAACTAGAAATGCCTTGTAATAAATCATAAAATTGCTGAAGGGTTCAAAAGGCTACAAAAGGTAGATTTTTTTCTTTTCTAATTCAAGAATTTATTCACAAGGACAAAGTATTGTATTGCAATAAACTGAAATTATTTGTACCCATGCTGTCATTTTGGGTGGATGATGTATGAGAGAATGCATGTATTGTATTGAATCAGGATGCTGTGCTATATTAGCCCAGTGTTGTAGGACAAAGTCACAATTAAAAGAGAAATCTAGCCTTCTATACATGCCTAAGAAAAAATCTCAGAGATGACTAATTTATACATTTCAGTGGGTTTGAAAAATAATCCACAATCTTATACAAAGTATACAAATAAACAAAATTTAATTATGCATAATGCTGGGTTGTTTGATAAGCCAAATGATGTACAAGAGGCAACCCTCAAAGCAGTTTGAAAGCAGAATTGTCTTCTCATCAGTGCTGACAATAAGGTTTTTTTCTACCTCTACCCTTCAAGTATTGCATTTATGCTTTGAATAAAATATTAAGATTAAAACAACGTGTACACAAGAATTTGTAGGTTCACAAAACGAGCCAACACAAGAAGGGTACAAATACTTCTTCAAGACAACATACACCCTCTTAGTTTCTCCTTGTGCCTTCCAGTATGTGTTACACTTCTGTGAAAACATAGTTCATGCTGATTCTGAAGTTTATTCAGGTGAATCTTTCAGAGGATTTTCAATACTTGAACCAAGTTCCTTTGTAATCTTATAGTTCAAGATGATCTTGTGATATTTTATGATTACTTTAAGCCCAGGGCTACATTTGGACACTCTTCTCTGGTGATTCCACTGCAGCGATATCTTTTTGTAATGTGGTAACCAAAAATATAATGTACAGAATATTCTAAATGGGATCTTCCTGCATTGTACAATGTCAACAATTACTGCCCTTGATTTAAATTCTATAGTTTTTGTTATAATGTATATTTAAACATTAGTTTTGCCATTTTTACTTTGCTCAGATTGGCTGGAAAGTCCAAAAAGACTCATGTATTTTGCATAAACTGCTCCATCAAAATAAGTATTTCTCACATTATATTTCTGGTATTGCTACCTGCAAGAAACACTCTGGACACATCTGTTTTAAATAACAGTTGCAAGGTGTGTGCCCATTCTTGAATTCCATCTAAATCTTATTTCTAAGCAGAGTGTACAGCTCCAACCTTTCTATTTAATCATTTGTTATTGTGACCACTAATTATACCAGAATCTACATCTAGAATATTTTAGATTTTTTTTTACGTACTGTACCTCTTTAATACTGACCATCATATAAGAAACCCAACTGGATGACAAGTCTGTGGCATGATTCCAACCCCTTCATTAACCAAAACAACCACTCAGAAATTAATTCCACCAAAAACTACTAGAAGTGCTTCTAGTCTTACACTCAAACTTAACTGTTTTAACTTAACAAAGGGCCCACTTGTTTTTAAGTTGGGTTTCCAATTATTTTGGACAGTGAAGGCAGTTTAAGTATGAAAGTATGGCTTCATCAAAGGTGATGTAGCGACAAAGCATGAATAACTCATAACTAGTTTCATATTCAACAAACTGGCACTTTAGTGAATTTAAGATTCCATTCCAATAACCTCCAACTCAAAAAAGATCACTGGCTGTCTTGCGGCATTAATTTTTAAACATGCCAGTTTTATGAAGAATAAAACAGAAATTACAAAGAAGGACAGCCGGATTCTTAAAAACTGATAAATGTACAGTACAAAAAAAATCCTAAAATTTGAGCTGAACGTACAGAATAAATGAGATGTTTATGAAGGAAGGAATGGCTGGGAAATGCATAATCTCTTGATAGTTTAATCCTCTCCAACTGTGAACAGTGCCAATTTAAACAGGCAAACTGATAACAGTTCCCATTGGGTTTTAGCTGAAGTAATTCAAGTTCTGCTAGCAAGTGTGTGAAAAAGGATATTAGAGTGAAAGATCCCCAAACACTTCAATTTGAAGTGTAAAAGCTTTATTGCTCCACAATTCACCAGCTATTTGAAGTGGAAGAGGCTTTACTCAGATTTATACAGTTCACTGTTTAATGGTACAGAAATATTTTGCCTCAAAGCTTCATAAATCAACTACCTATGGGACAATTTTTCCCACGATTATATGAATTAGAATAATGATTATCATCTACATCCAATACATTTATCTTATTTATATAAAAATTTATATAAAAATTTTGAAGTTCTACGTGGAAACTGAACAAATGTTTAAGGGTGCTTTTCATTATTGTGTATCCTGTTACTGGTTAAGAAACAGGAGGGTAATGTGATGTTTGATAAAAAGATGACAGTGTGACAGTATTAAATGAATGAGAAATTCTCCTGAAAATAAGAAAGCTGCACTAAAAATCTATATCATAGACGAGACCAACATTATTCTAGTTGATGTAAATGATGTATTCCTTAAAGAAGAAAACCACATTATTATGAAGTGTCCAGCTCGCCCTTCTAAGAGTGTTTTTAAGGTCTGGTATATATTTTGTGTTATAATGTACATTCTGGAGTAAAACATCAATATGATACAAGAGAACCATGACTATCATTTAGCAGAACTGCATAAACATTTTTTACAGCAAGTGAACAATGTCAGGGCTGCAGAAGGTATTTTAGTTTAATTATCCTGTATTAATAAAATGAATAAACTTAACATTAGCTTTGATCAGTTGCCCACTAGATATCTAATAAAATGAGCCCAAAATCAGCTTTGAAGCACACAAAAGAGATTCACAGGGGAAAGCACAGCTATGGAGGGCCAGACATATAAAATTATAAAAGGCCCATTTCTGGCGCATGTTTATTTTACATTATAGTTCAAAATAAGTCACACTAAATCTGGGCGAATTCCAATTTATAGACATGGTATAGCACACAGCATTATTTAAGGACTAGGAGGGTATAGGTAAGAGCTAACTGAATTCTGTAGTACAAAACTACCCCAATATACAGGTACCTCCAGTAACACAATAGGCAGGACTCACAGAAATGTCAGAACAATTTGCAAGTATTTGTTATTTTTTCAGATTTTACATTTACAAATTAGATACCACATTAAAAAGGCTCCTAAATGAGTCATAGCAATGTAATTTCCCGTAATTCTTCACAGTCTTGCAATACATGTGCGATGTATGCACCTTCTAAACTTGGCACCTGGAGACTTAATCAGCAGAAAGACTAAGGGGTTTTATTCAGAACATGTAACCCATCTTGGAATTGTAGAACTAAATGAGAGGGAAAGAAATCTCAATGAAATAACTGCTGCTTCAGAACAATTTAACAATTCACCAATTTAACTAAGTGTTTTGAGTCCCTCAAAGAGCACAGCTTCTGAAAAATTAAAGACATCACCAACTGAAGAAAAGCTAGAGGAAGTAACCAGTTTGCATTTCTCAGAACTGAATTGGGTTCAGTGATTTAGGGTGCACCAATGAAAGTGAGGTCTGAATGAAAATTCTTGCTCCGTTTATGAAAAACGTTTTCCGCTACAAACCAGGACATTTTCCTAACCAGTGCCTCCGTGTATGGTACTGTAAGTCAAGCCTAAACATGAGTCTAGAGACTCGATTTACCAGAGTTTATCCCAATTTCTGAGGTGTTAAAATAATGTGTAAAGTGTGTGATTCCCCCTGTGGACGTGAAGCTAGTTTACTGCAGGTACTTGCCCATCAGTGTTGATGTAGTTCAGGTGGGTAGCTGTGTCAGCATGTGTAGGCTGCAAAGGCACAAGTAATAGGTTTATTCCATGCTGAAAAAAAGAAGAGAGAAAACACAACGTTACGGCCTTGGAGCCTTCTTCAGGAGCCTTCTTCCACACCTGAAGAAGGCTCCACGGCCGAAACGTTGTGTTTTCTCTCTTCTTTTTTTCAGCATGGAATAAACCGATTACTTGTTCCATCAGTGTTGATGCTCACTTCCAGAGCTGGGTGGAGCACAGGAATTTGCTCAAGTACATGAGTCCAGCACCTTAACATACCTCAGGGTAAGGTAGACGGATCAAACCACATTGTGTATTCATTTACACAAGTCGAGCAGAGGGTGACTATGCGAGAGGCAGCAGCCTGCGTGTGGACTGTGGAGAAAAAGATGTACCTTGTCTCCGCCGGCTGCTGATTTTTCTGAAGCAGGTTCCCTCACACAGCCTGTTCAGTCTCTGCTGCTTGATTAACTCCATGATTTCCGGCTGGATCTTCTCTCTCAGCTCCCTGGGCAAGAGAAAAGGCATTTTGAGAGCTCGATTCAAAGAAAATCATTTATCAAAAAGGGTTTGATGTTTTTACCCCTAAAACGAAGTCCTAAAAATAACAAGCACCAAGCAAGCAGTTAATTCCATAAAGTTATGCATCAGTTTCCATCTTAAAATGCTAAATATCCCACGCTCACAAAAAAAACATTTTAAACCAAATTAGATTGGAAAGGTTTTCTTTGTTTCCTGTTTGTTGCTGCAGGGTTTTTTGCCGTGAGCAGAAACATGAAAAACACACAAATAGCTATTCCAGACTGGATGGGCTTAACAAAAATTAATTAGTGATTCTAAATTAAAAACTAGTTTGAAAGGTTTCTCATTTGCACTGCTGCTAGAGAGTGCTGTAAGGTAAATGTTTTTTTTCTGATAGCTTATCTAAAACAGGGAACTAATGCACCTTAGGCTTTATTTAAATGTATCTACAGTACATTAGAAATATACTGTACACAATACCAATGGATCACAAAGTGCTTATCATAAAATAAATAGTTTCTATACACTACAAGATCATTTTCTTTCCTTTTTTCTTTATTTTAACAAAAAGAATGGAAAAGCTTCGGAATAGAAACTGAAAAGCATTTGGATCTGCAGTCATTACACAAATGTGAAACCTAAGATCATTCCCTCAAATATTTCTTTTTTACAACAAATCCTCCTGCTCATTTTGATGTTTATAGTTTGATGTATGATTTTACAGTATGAGTAAAATACTGTATCTTGTTGTCTGATCTGCAATGACAAGAGTTACCTACTGGCAGATTAACAACAGCTCTTCCAGACAGCACCACAACTAGCATAAAAGTCACAGGGTTTGAATATTTTGAGTGCCTTATCCTGAAAACCTGAATATACTGTTTGATCAAATTATTTTAAAAATCTTTCTATTGCTTTCCTTTCTCCAAATTCAACTTCTTTTTTTTTTGTTTAATTGAATTTAAATTTAATTTCCAGTATCCTGTTAGTAATGTCTTGGAAATCTTAGCTCATTAACCTTATGAGCTGAGATTATACACAACATTCACTTCTAAGTGGTTGAAATATTTTTGGTGGAATCTTGCCATAAAGCAATTCCATACTAGATAATAAAAGCATATGAATGACTTAAAATCAAAACTAACATGCTGCAAAGTACATTTCATTACTGTTTCATTGTTATACAGTAACATATATAATCTTTTTAACTGCATTTCCATTTCCGTGAATTATGTTTTTCAGTTTCTATAACATCATGTTTGTAGTTGAAGGGTTATTATTTGTTTCATACTAATGTCACTTTTTAAGAAAACAGAATGAATTCAGAAAAAAATAATCATATTTTATAATATTGTTTCTTTCCTTGCTTATTTCTTGATGGTAACTGGAATTAAAACTATGGAAATATTTCACACAGACATGATTAAATCAGAACTTGAGAGAGAGCTTCCAATTATCCCAGACAGACAAGAAATAAAAACACCACTGAGAAGTACTTTTGTATTTAGTGTTACTAGTGCACCTTAAGTCTTTTCCAGACTTCAGTAATGGAGCAGGATTCCAAAAGTACTCATTCAAAGAACAGTACTTTCGTCAGCAATCTGTGTTTTTTTCAGAAACTGTAGCAAACTAGACTTCCCAAAGGTTTAGCAAATCACAGCACTGTTTTTTCTGGTTTGCTTCAGGGGTTCACAGTTGAAACACAATGTTGTATTTCATTTAGGAATTCAGACTGCGGCATATCAATTATTTTACTGAAGAGTAAATCCTGAATCCTGTCCTTCAATAACGTCAACACTATGATCATCAGGTACAGTATACTCTTACTGTTTGGATTTTCCTTACCAATGCGACATGCTCAAGGTGATCAGTGTCAACAAATGAAGCACTGCAATAGTCGCATACAAATGTGTGATCCCTATATTCTTTTCAGCTTCACGATGATGCCTATAATTCCCACGTTTTTCCCTCAAATACTGAGGTTTGGAGTAAAAATCAATGCCTGAGATCAGCTTTCCGAAAACTTCAAAATGCCAGCTTTTGTTGCAGAGTACAATTCATCTTGTGGGTGTTGCTCAGTCCAGAAAAGTGCAGAATTAAATCAATGCACAGAAAGCATTACTCAGCACTTACTAATGTGCAAGCAATTTTTCCTTCTTACCATGTGCAGGATTAAAAGGTCTGCATGGAAAATAAAATAATGGCCTCCAAAACAAAATGTAAATAATTAAGTAAATAATTATCTTCAAAGGGCTAATGAATGGGACTTTAACTTAACTCCATTAATTTTGAACAAGGATTTATAGATGTTCCATATTCCATTTAATCACACACTTAATTATTAAATACAATGTCTGCCTATGAGATTAATAGTACCAAATAAGGCTACTTCAAGGGCTTTAAAGTACTATTTCCAGTGGTTAACTGGAATAACAGTTACAGTCCACAAGATAATCTGTTTTCTTTTGACACCATAACTCAACATGAAGTTCTATGCAATTACCAGCTTGTTAATATCCTTAATAAAGCCTGTGTTATTTATTTGTCAGACACTTTAAAACAAATTAAAACAAATATCAGCTATAACTCTAGTTTTAAATTAAAAATTGATTTATATGAAGCTTGATCCTAAGTGACATGAATCATTAACTTCTAAATCAAGCCTATAAGAAATATTTAGTCTTCATGATAAATACTGGTCTTCAGAAGCCACCCATATGAATAAGCATGACAATGGATTGGAACATCTATTCATTAAAAAAAAATCTTCTTCTCTAACCATTCGTCAGTAACTGAATGTTTTCACATGAGGAGAAACCAAAAGATGAAATTTTAATTTTCATAACTTGAATAATTCCATGTGACCTACTATATTTGAATTGAATTTGAATTCTAGTTATTGTATTTTCAAGAACTGTACATTTTTTTTGTTCCTAGTCATTTGTTTTAACTTATTAATGGGCAAGAAATGAATAACTGCAGATGTTTATAGTCTTACATGCTTGTTAACAGAATAAGTGTCTTTTGGTATTCACATGAGCCATACCAGGCTATTATTTTGAATAACGACATAAAGCCCACAAAGACCTAATTACAGGAACTGTAACCACAGAAACCAGTGAAGCAGAACATTAAAGAGACATCAGCCCCAGGTAAGTAACCTACAGTACTTCACTCTGCACAGAAAGCTGCTGCCTGGTTCATGTACAGAAAGGATTTAAAAAATAATTTAGAATTTACAATGGACGCTGGTCTTTGTATATTATAATTACACAGACTGAGGCTGAAATTTAAATGACAACCAAGCTTTTGGTTGTTTAGTAAAGAACGTAACAGCCCGTCCCACACACTTTCAAGTCCTGAATGGAGGGAAAAGCCAATACTCACACAATAGGGGGAGACTGGAAGTCCTCCTGGTTCATCCTCTCAGACTGGCGCAGTTTCAGGATCTCGGTGTAGCTCAGGTTCTGCAGTTTGGTTTTAAACTGGTCCAGCGAGTTAGGCTTCGTATTGAGTGCTCTCATGATCTGCTCTCTCACCACCTGCATAACCTGCGAACAGCGAGAACAGATAAAAAAAAAGCTTTCATTTTGCCACCTGAAAAAAGAGAATATTCAAAACAATTCCAGTACCACTGAAATGTCTCGTATGTCTGCTTTAATGATAAAAGTCTAAATATCTAATGGAAATGTCATTAAACGTCACTATCTCATGCAACATTACATAGTTCCTACTGCTAGTATTCAGTCAGAAGAAGAGATCTGGACATCTCCTGACAACGCACTCTTTCCTTACCCACTGTGAACACCATTACTGCCCTGGTACAGGCTGATCTCTAGGCCGCCCATCGAGCTGTTTACTGGATGGATATCACTGGAATGTTTACGTTATTTTGATAAGGGATAATCCATCCATTCATCCATTTTCTAACCACTTTATCGAACATAGGGTCGAGGAGGAGCCAGAACCTATCTCGGCAAGCAACGGGCGCAAGGCAGGGTACACCCTGCGTTTAATGCCATCTCACTGCAGGTCACTCATAGACACAGACAAAAACACTCACAATCACACCAGAGCCAATTTTCCCAGAAGACAATTAACCTACCATCATGTCCTTGGACTTTAGGAGGTAACCGGAGCACCCAGAGGAAACCCATAAGAACATGGGGAAAATGTATCAACTCCATGCAGAAAGAACCCCAGGTCTTGAATTGGACCCAGGACCCCAGCTCTGCAAGGCAGCAGTGCTAACCACTGCACCACAATACCGCCCTAAGGAATATTCAATTAGAACCCTCAGAAACTAACTGAACTAGTTTTCACACATTTATTCAAATTGTATTCTGCTGCTCTTAAAATAAAACTATAGTAGTTCACCAGAGCCTAATTTAGATATTGAATTCAGGTTAGCGTATTATTTTGTACAGTACTGTAACAATACACTTACTGTATACTGTGTATACACAAATATGGCAATGTATACTTTATGTCATTCAAAAGGCCAAATGAGAGTCAAGACAAAGAATATAACAGCAGGTTTCACATCACTCAATTAGCATAGAGGGACCATAAAAACACTTTCAGCATCACCACAGTTGTTTTTAAAATGTTATGGTTTTGACTTTTATTTTAAAAAAAGGATCCATGCCCAGTGACATTTCAGCAGCAGGATCCTGACTGTGGGAGAACAAAAGGTTCTCAAAGCTTTAAAATGAGGATCCTCCCTTTCCATTGTAGTTCACATACTGAAATCAGGGGAAAAGCTGGCTTCCCTAGCTAGGAAGAGATCAGATCCCTTTATTGGCCATATACAATTTTTTGTTTAGAAATTTGTCTTTTCAAATACCCCAGCTTGCTCTCCATGAGAACACAGACAGGGAGAGAAGCTTGTGGTTAGAGCGCAGGGTCAGCCATTTATACAGCAGCCCTGGAGCAGTTGGGGTTAAGAGGCTTGCTCAGTATTCAAATGGAGTAGGATTCCTCTGCCGGCCGTGGGATACGAACTGGCAACCTTCCAGCCACAGGCGCAGATCCTTAGCCACAGAGCCACCACACCGCCCAAAATAGCATAGAAAAATAGCACAGAAGCCCCCCAAAAAATAGCATAGAAGCTTGTATCTGTATCCCTGCTTGCTGCTGGCATGAGCACCATGACAACCTTTTCACTGCTGACTCACGATTTTCCAGTTACGCAAACTTGCTTATGTGGCGGCATGTTTGCTGACCTGTGCCTGGATTTTCTTCTTTGGTGCTATTGTTTTGCTGCTCTGAGGAGCCTGTAACCTCAAGTGACTTGACGACAACCCAGAGCCCACTCACCTCAGGCCTGGACACCCAGCTTTCAGTGCTTCACTGAGAACCCCGAGCCCTACCAAGAGTTCTGTTAAAACCACAACCAAATGTTCTTAAATCCATAAACCGTGTAGCCACGGACCAGTGACCATAACCCCAAACGATGCACCTTATGTGATCACACAACAACCAAGTGCACGACACACCACCACCACCACCACGAATCATAATTACAACCAACACCTGTAACCAGCTCTACAGCCTTAACCAAGAGCATAATAATGAGCCCTCAAGATCCCCGTCCATTAGTCTTCCTTATAAACTGTCAAGAGTATTCTCTAGTGTATCGCTAACAGTGTCTGCCCACCTGGGAGAAGTTAAACTGCATACACACATTTGCCCTGATGCCTCTAAAATCCCGATCATAGCCAATGATCTTTTATATGGTCCTATAGATGCCTCAACCATGCAAAGACGGTTTCCTTATTATAAAGCTTTTAGTTAAAACTCAACATGATATAACAAATGGTTATCCTCTCAAATCCGGTCATAATCTCAAATCCTCTCAAATCTTGTCATAACTGTTATATTCATACCTATATATTCAAAGCCTTTATATACTGTATAACACAAGGCTTTAGCATGAGCATTTTTTATCAAAGGAACCACCACAAGCAGAAGCACATCTAAGATTTGAAAGTTAGATTATCTTTTCAGTCTAACTCTAGGCTAGCAGCAGAAGCAAACATATTCAATTAGTTATTTTCATGCACCTTATTCTGCAAGAATTAAATGACCACTAATTGCACTGAAGCCTCAACTGCATTTCCAACCGACAGTTCCTCATTGCTATTCTACCAGAACCCCTCTGTGTGTCATTATGGGTGTGTTCAGACACAAGAGCCTGACCTTTCTGAATTACTCTCATTTCATCTGTTTTGGGGAAAGAAATCAGAGAATGAAACAGGGAAAAGGTCTGGCGTTTCAGGAGTACAGGAAGGAAACTGTGATGTGAGAAAATTCTATGAATTTTGAGCGGATTATGAAGAGAGGTTCACAGACATGATGAAGCTAGTGTGTGTGTCACATGCTGTGCCGTACTCATGATCAGAATACCAGTGTCCTGTGCAGAACAAAATCATCCAAAAAACATTCCATTAAATAACACAATATACTGATAAGAACCAACTCAAAATGCCTTAAGAAGGCTCATTTTGCAACACGACATAGCAAAAGAATAGTACAAAAGTAACAAGTACAACAAGAGACATACTGTTGATATTAAAGTCAATTTGCTGCTAATTTAATGATCTCTGTTAGTTTTTGTAATTAACCTTATAATTATATTATTTGATTTCCCAATGCCTGTTTGAATCCATTGCCACTTACAGCTTTTAAAGATCAACGTTGGGATTGCACAGTATTGACATATTCTAGTAAATATCAGTACAAACAAGATTTTAAAATAATTAAACTGTGAATTGATCTGAAGGCTGCCGGACAGAGCAAAAGCATCTCAATATAACATTATCACAGTATTATATGAAAGAAGATGGCATACCACACTGATCTGCAAATGTATTTGTTGCCAAGTACGCAAATGCTACTCACCTCCTTACCGATTATGTTACATAGGTATTTTCATTAACGTATATTCACATGCTTTTAAATCAGAGCCCCACATATGATCAATCACATTTTGAATCACTATTATGGATTATGGATTTTATATTTTAAAACTACTGTTATTTGCACAAATACCCAAACAAAATGACTAAATAAAAAGTATTCTGAAAACCTGGTGACAGGGTTTCAAAGTTCACTGACAAATTTGGAATGTTTGTCAGTGGAACAGCATTCTGAACAGGTTGCTGTCAGAAAAATGGTTCATGCAGTTATGCAAATGTTGTCTCGCCTGAGATCAATCAATCAAGCCCAAGTAATAGCACAAATAAAATCACAAATAAAGTGTTCCAGATTATTGTATAAAATCATTCCCCTCTGCAAACAGTATTTTAATTGTCACCCAATACATGTAGTAATAAGTAATTTTCATATTTTTTTTATTACTAAAATAAGAAGCTAATACATAGAAAAACTTGGCGTCCTGCTAGTAGGTGACTAAAAAGCTCTCGTGAGAAAGGAGAAAAAAAAAAGTACTCTGGGGAGCGGAAAGATTCCTTCATTCCAGGTTTTGATTTTAAGATCTGCTGTGATATATTTAGAAATTAAGCTGCAAACTCTTCCGATTAATAGCTTCATCAACAAATACTTCCAAAATAAGTATGTCTAGTGCATATCAACCTTGTCATAATGCTAAGGTCTGCCAACAGGAATTGGCTGGATAATACTAAGAAAAGATATGTGTGCTGAGAAGATTATACAACGCTGGCTGAAGTATTACAGGTCTTTACAAGTAATATAAAATGTGTCAAGTAGACCCTGAAACTTATAACTGTGAATATTAATATTTAAAGGTCTATTTTTCCCCCATATAGAAGATAACACCTGCAAGGAATATTTTTTCTTTCATGTTCTCTGCATTTTCAAATGCTTCACAGGCTTCTGGTAAAGTAGCAACACTAATAAAACATATAAAAGAGAACAGCATGCAAATGTATATTAAATATATATTCTGCTTTGTGATTAATGTGTAAATTGCAAAAAGTCTTGGTCTTGTTTTTATTTGTCCAATTTGGCTATGAACATTAGATTGAGCCTAGACTCAATGCATTTCTTATGAATGAAAAACAGAATAAATTATTTTTAGCAGTTCCATATTGATTTAAGTTTGTTAAATCAAAACTAGTTCTGTGTGAGACCCATGTACATTAACATGTTTTAAATGCCATTTGAAAGAAGCATTTTCAATCTCAAATTCAAATTCAGGCTCTGTTTCTGAAGACTACAGAATATAAAATGAAGAATCTTCCTTGTCAAGAGCAAATAATTAATTTACATATAAGCAGAGACAAGCTTTCAGTGCCAAAACTCTTGATTGCAAGGGAAATTGCAGCTGCTTTTCAGGTACTTCTCAAGTAAAATTTCCATTAAAAATAAAATTCAAAATCTAAACGCTCAACAGCCACTCTAACCTCTTTTACTGATTCTGATATATCAAGACCTACACAAAACAAACCTAAAGAAAGCATAATCTTAACAGTTTTACATAAAGACAACTACAGTGTCTGTCTAAATCTACAGTACAACTGCACAAAAAGACATATTGTCACCAGTTTTTCTGACCCCTAAACAAGGT